CATCACTTATGAGCCTTGGGTTTTTGTTAAGACACAAGAATATCAGTTAGATCAGGAGTGTATGGCTGTACTCGCAAATATTTGATGTCTGAAGTCAATTGCCTTTCTCCCTCCGAGTTTTTAGAAGGTTTGTAACCCTTGGAATAGCAGATTCAAGCCAAACAATACTTAACACATCCTTAAACCTGTGAATGAGCACCAAGTTTTCAGAGCAGAAAGAGAGAAGAGACATTTTTTTGTTCAAATAGCTCCAGACTGCATTTGTGACTTTTTTTATTGAGAGTGTGTGAACTGATGAGCATGATGATGATGAAGCTGTACTAGTGTGGCTGTAACCAGCACAGGAAGCTGCTGTCTGGACCACAGTGGCGGAAAGCAGAACTTTTATGACTTCGGTGTACAGTACTGCGGTATTATCGCTTAAAAATGAGGTCTCCTCGTGAAAAACCGAGCGCACCTGCATTCACTAGAAAAGACTGCGTGTAGAATACATGTCGCTCAGTTTCATCTCGGACAAATCTGACATAAGAATGCCATAGGGTACACACCACAGTCACTAAGTGCAGCTACTGCAGTCTGCTATGTGTGACGTTTAGGGAGCATCAGTAAATCGTAGTGTCTATCGATAAGGAAATGTTCAGCAAGTCATATGTTCTGCCTTTGACCAGGTGGGAGGTGCAACAAAATGAGAAAGTGGGTTGCACCGGTCCTACCAGTGAAAAAGTTAATCTGCAGCCCTAAACATTGTTTTTTTTTTTTTCATTATTTATGCTGTGTGCTTTGAATTTGTACAGATCCTGTAAATACTTATGAAAGTTTGATGAACGGTTTTGAAATTTAGTTCTGGTCAGTCTTGATAATGTTAAATAAGATTATAATCAGAATATCCTCCAAAGGTAGAACATTTAGATTCCTGTGAATAGTTGTGCCTGATTCTAATTTCTGATTAAAAATAAAAGGTCATTTGCAGACTGCGTGTCCCCCCCACCAAAAATTTTCACCAGCCGCCACTGCTTGGTAGTGTGTTGGTGTGAGTGCACACACAACTGTGTTACAAACACAACCCGAGTACAATCCACCTCCCTCCATTTCTATATTCTATACATGCTTTTGTGTGATATCTACGATAGCCTGCAAAGCAAATGTGCAGCAGCAGCAGCAGCATACCGACAACCATGACTCCAGCCTCTAACACACTGTTACACATCAACATTACAGTGGAAACTCTCCTACTGGATCAAAGCTTCAAACCGTCTTTAATTCCAGGAAACCTTACCTTATTTCCCTGGCCCCACTCCCAGATGCCTGGGGCTTGCATACCAAAGAGGGCGAAAGGGTCCCTGCCGATAATAATCAGCCCAATCACCAGCAGTTTGAACACAGACAGGAAGGAAGCAATGTGTCTGAGGACAGAAAACAAAAAAAATGGCTTTTGAAACAGCTCCTAGATATGGTAACATGTCCAGAGTATCAAGAGATCAAAATAGAGATAAAATCCGTACACAGTTTGTCTCAGTCGACTAGGTTTAAGACGTCATTCTCAGGTGTTAAACTATGATTTTTAGAAAAGAAGATATATTCATGTTTACAATATCAGAATAAAATTCATCTTCACTCCTATTTTTCAAAATGACCAACAGGCCTTCATCCTACTTACGCCAGTGCTTTTCTCCCTTTTAAAATGTAACATGTGGAACAGGTTGAGCTACAACCCATCGGGGGACATATTTTTATTGGTCTAGTGACTGAGCAAGAGATAGACATCACAAGAAATCAAGTATAACACTGGCTGAAAAATTTGAAACTCTGGGTGTGATACTGCCTCCTGCCTTTAATGGAGTTAATCTCTGGTGTGTTCATAAAGAGTTCACCAGACGAGGACCTGAGAGACTCTGTCATGCAACTCCTTGGACTACACCTGGGACTGCCACACAAACCAGGCTCACACTGAGACTCCCACAGTGATGCAAATATAGCGTAATTCCCAAAGCAATGAGGATGAACAACAGGACTGACGTTTTTAGATAAAAATGGAACAATTACAGTTTAACTAGAGTTCAAATTATCATCAACAGTGCACAAAACAGAAACAGAAAAAAATTCCAGACTGAGGTGAGAAACATACTGAAGAGAAATATTTAATAGCTATATATTAGTCCTTGCAATGAAACTCATTCTGCTTTCTACCATCAGTCATTGAGTTGATTGTTTGTCTCTGAAGACGCCAGACAAGTTCACAGCTTCCAACAGTCAAGGCAACAACTTCAATTAAGATATTTTTCAAACAGAAGTCCTAAACTCAAAGACATTTAAGACATGATCGAAGCTGCATCCAGCAATCTTTATGAAATGTTGCTTCCCTAGACGAATAACAGCTATTCAAACAGTTGCTACGTAACACAACAGTGAAGGTAAAACCTGCTGCAGCACTACTGTTGTACAGCAGTATGTTTGAGCCTTCCTAATAAACTGGCAACTGAGTGTGCATCAATGTCATCATACTGCTAAATCCCTCAATAAATAAACTCAAATATTACAGTGTAAAGCATGTAATTATTTATCGTCATATACCACAGTAAATACCACGATGCGCCGTTGACCCAAACTTTGCCTCTTCAAAAGGGGCACACAATTTAATCTATGTCTGCTAAACCTTCAACTACCAAAGACCAGAGGGCAGAAAAGCCTGTGGATGAGAATTCCACTTCTTTGGTCAAATCACAGCTAATCCCAGGGAGATTTCAGGCTGCTTTAATAAAGCTGGTCATAATCCACTTGTAACAAAGCAGACAATCCCCCCCTCTCTCTCTTACCGATAGACGGGTATAGGAAGATAGTTCTCCCCTTCAATGCGGATGTCCGGGTACCGCTGGTACAAGGCCTGCGTGTACTCCTCAAACACCCGCTTGTACCCTCAGGAAATGCTGCGTGAAGACAAACACAATGTTAGGGAGACGTACACAGTGTACAGTCACAACACACAGCTTAGCCTTGACATCTGAATTCCAAATTTATCTGTGGACCATTTGCTTAAAAGGTGTGAAATTCCATTCAACAGGAACAAGTTACCTCACTTCAAGTCCAACAGCCTGTTTGAGTCTTAAGTTTGCTTCAGAGAAAGCAAAATTACATAGCAAATGCCCTGTTGTTGTTTATTGCAGTCGTATTTACTGACTTATGACACTGTATAATCATGTGACATCCCTGTTTGCAAAACACATTAAAGATGAACATGTAATTGTGTCAACAGTTTTAGCATCTAGCATGGGGCAATAGACCAGACTAAGCCCCGCTTCAAGTTTTCCCAGTTTCTATACATCTACAGCTGCTTGTATCTGGATTAAACAGCCACAGTATGCAAATACACAGAACTAGATGTCTGTGGCAATAGAAAAGCTACATCTTTAGCTCATCCTGTAACCAAATAATGGTAAACAAAGACATGTTTGCAGTCTACAGTGTAATGAGGCATAGCATTTAGGATGACTACAGACAAAATACAGTATTGTTTCCAATGTTTAGGCTGTCGGTGTTTGGAAAATACGCAACTGACATGTTTTAAGGCAGAGTTTTATATACAAAATAAATAAAGAAAAGCTATAATTTTCAAATTAAGACCCTCAAGAATGAAGTCTAATCATTGTGATGCATTCATATAACTTCAGTTGTAATGTGGGGGGCTGCAATCTCTTTCTGACAGGTGGAAAACTGCAAAATCCGGATAGAATTGAACTAGTTTAATGCGGGACACGAAGCAAATAAAACAATACATATAATTGCTTGTAGGCACAACACCAGACTAAACTACAAAACTAAATGCAAAGTGTTTAAACAATGTGGATAATATCGTTTGGATCTGAAATAATCCTGCACAACACAAAAGACACGTTAATCTAATTTACACGGCGGTCGGTTTGACAGCGGAAGTGAAGCCATGTTTTCGACGAAATGTTTTCGAAATCTGGCAAATACCACGAACTTCCAGGAAATGCTTTTTTTTTTCGATATGTGCTTTATAAAGAAATTCCTGATACATTTATAAGAGTTTCTTCCCCTGTGACATGTTAAATCGACCCACCGTCAGCTAGCTTGTTTTCGGCCTGTGACGCTGTTAGCCGGGGAGTTTAGCGTGCAATGACTCGCCAGATTTTTTCGCCCATTTGCTTACCAAATCTGAAACTTGAGAAGGGGTCCCGTCGCGAACTGCATCTTCATCTTCTTCACGCCGCTGCTGTCGCCAGACGTGGCGCAGCACAGCGAGAAAACCCCCAAGGCGAGGAGCGAAAACCGAAGCCACTTCATCGCCGTCCGTTCCGGGGTTAGTTTCCTCACTGGGGCGCAGAGAGGCAGGTTAATCTGTACATTTCCTCACTGGTTGGTCCCTCCTTTTCCTCTCGCTTCGATCTTGGATTTCAAACACTGCCGCCACCGCCTTCAGCGCCCCCTAGCGGTCTGGCGGTCCAACATTTCAAGTACCCCTGACTGCATTTGGCCGTTGTGTCCGTAAATGCAGAGTGGAAATGAGAGAAGAGGTGTGTTTGTTTTACATCACAGCCTCTCCCGTCACAAACACTACCACAATACACTGTTCACCCCGCCCCCATTAAGCTGTGCTGTAACCATCAGCTAGCGCTACACAAACAAACTACCCAATGACAAGACTGGAGGGGCGGAGAGGGGGCCAATCAGATTCCAGCAGGGGCCATGGCCCCTGTGGCCCCTCCCCTCCCTTAGCAGCCTTGCAGTTACAGTAACCATAGCAACCCGTAGAGTTGGGACCATAAGTTGGGACGCGGACGCTGTCGGTGGATCTTGTGGTACTGAGGTGCTACTGAGTGGTTACTGGTGGTTTCTCTGGACGTCTGGGCCGTCCTCGTATCTGCTGTCAGTCTGTCTTTAAGCCGCACTGACGGTCTGAGCGGTGAAACTCCAGAAATACAAAAAACAAACTGAGCTGCTCAACGATGGACGCTTCAGACGACAACAGAAGGCAGCAGAGGATGCAGTCAGCCGCCTCATTTAAGGCTTTTCTGTTGAAAAACAGCACAGAAAGCAACCTGAACATGTAAGTAACGCGTTTAAATCCGCTCTCACTGTGTTTTGCTGCTGCAGACTCATGTTTGTGGGCTTTGCTCAGTTGGTTGAAGCAGTTTCTGATTTGTAGTTAGACACAGAATGAGGGCTTCACAGATCAAACTGCTCTGAAGACTCTTTAGGCTCTAAAAGTCTAGTTCACATTTGACCAGTCCACAAAAACTGGATTTAGATCTGTACCTGTTCTATCATGGCTAAGCTGTGACAGAAGCAGTGACAGCTCGTTTTTACTGACAGAATAAAGATTTTGCAAATATGAGAGTGAGTTAGCTTTGCCTTCAAATGTCTAACATGCTTTTATGAAATGAAATGAAATGAATGAAATGAAAAAATACTTTATTTATCCCAGAAGGGAAATTCAACCCTGTAAAAGCTCACTTCTTTTTCCCCTTTTCTTCCTTTTCATTCAATACAACATACATTCCAAACAACAACAACAATCATTCAGTCAGTCAGATCTGTTCTCCAAGGTGATGGCCGCCTTTTTTATAGCAAAAAGTCTGGCAAAAAATGGAGAATCAGCAGCTCAGTCTCTTAGCCCTGCTCCAGACAGGCTGTTTCAGTGACTGTAGCTTGAAATCCAGCTGAGCTGCTGCTGCATTCGTCCTTTTTAAGAAGAATACCACATTGGCACTTCTCCCATGAAGGGATGGTCTTCCCTCATATTTTGTGGGTCTCTAGGTACAATGCTGGATTTGAACAGTGTAGCCCCTTAAAAGTGTCACTGAAATAGCACGTGTAATTTATTACAATTGTTTTCTTTCTGGTAACAAATCAATCATTTGAGGATGCTACATTTAACAAAAAAAATGTTCTGGACTTTTCAGCAAACTTAAGGCTGCTCTAAAAGTCAGGAATCCTGCTCCTGTGATGTACACAAAGTGATCTCTGTCATCAGTAATGGAGAGTTTATGTGGTTGAGGGTAAAACACACTCAATGGGCTGTTCCAATTCAGTCACAAAAAGCTGGATATGATGACAACCCATGTACTTCCACTGACACTGATGCTGCCTTGAATGGCACATCAGGTTCTCGTTGCTCCTACATCATATCATTCATGTTGGGCTTCACCAATGAATCAGAATGTGTAATGAAGCTCTATCTTTGCTCTGAATCTTTGCTACCACTTTTGTTTTTTCACACCTCTCGTGAGTTTTACAACAAATATTAATTACTGTCAGTCATAATAGAATAATATCAAGACATAAAAACCTAAACTTTCTAAGAAAAGTGCTGTGGTTTTATACACACACATATATATATGTATGTGCTGAAATGTATGAATAGCATGTCTGGGTGGATATGCACTAAAATAACCAATGGATAGTCCCATGCTCAGGAATCCTTACAGATGTGATTCTCTAATGTTCCAGCTATGACCACCTCACCCAGCTCCTGATGAAGGTGATGGATGAGCGTCCACACAATGCAGTGGATGTGATTGAGGATATGAGCCGTGATGTAAAGAGAGAATTATTTCAAGACACGCAAAGCACTCTGCGAGACCTTCCACAGACTACAGATGCTGAGCTGCTGGCTGAGCAGCAGTGCCTGCTGTTTTCTCGGCAAGAAGACACGGACCAGGAGGAGGAACTGGTACTGGCTAAATATACTCACATGTTAAATTTGACTTGGTGATTTGTAAGTTAAAAGACATATTGGCATTTTGATCCACATGTGGGACATTTGACATCTTATGAAGCCAGTTGAAGTTACACATCATATCATTTCTGCAGCATTTTATTGATGGCTTATGTGTGGCGGGTGCCAGAAACTACGATCAAATAGCACTGACTGCAGTCACTGAATGTATGAACAGAATTGTTTCCTTGTTCTTTGACCAGAAAGCTCCCGATTTATATTTTAAAATATTTTAGACAATTTCTTTTTTTTTATAGACAAACACAGTACAAGCTACTCACCTATATGTAGCGTCTGACCACTGGCGTTAGCACAAAGGAGTATGATTTCCTACAGCTATGTGCCACAGCAGACTCTCTGATAAACCTTCATGTCCACAAATAAATACCTAATACTCTCAGTTAAACATTGAACATTGAAAACTATCCATTAGAATTCTCTCTATGTGCCTTTTCACCTGAATATGTATGAAAACATTTATGTGAGTTGTCACTATGTAATGCTTTTATTGGTCTTCATCAGGCTGAAACACCTCTTCCAAATGTGAGTGAGATTGGTTTCTACCTGGAGCAGGCTGGAGTGGGACTGGGCAGAGAGGAGATGCAGCGCATCTTCCTTGCACTCAAACGGCTTGTTGAAACCCAGGCACTGCCACGCTGCCGACTGTGGGGCAAGATTCTGGGAACAGGCAGCAACTATATTGTTGCTGAAGCTGAGTACAGAGAGGGGGAGGAAGATGAAGAGCAGATCACTGATGAAGCACCTGAAGAAGAGGGTAGGGAGGCTGAGACTCAGGATAGTGAGGTGAGGAAGTAAACATGCTCAGTGTACCAGATAATCTTTACTTCCTTGCAAATTGTGGAAGGGAACTTTGAGCTGCAAGGAGAACCAGGCCTCTAAAGGAGTCAAGTGTTCCTGTTTAAAAATATATTTACAGCATGTTTAATATATCATATTTGATGAAGAATCACACTCTTCACATCTGCTCTTACTCTACACTTCCTCCATGTGTTCTCAACATTTATCTCTGTAAATTTCAGCTGCATTAATTCCATCCATTCAAGAACCACTGTACTGCTCTCACACTTCCTCCTTAACATACGTACTGTTCATTCTTCTTTCAGTGCATCCTTTGATCCTTTGATTATTCCTCTGTCAGTCCATTTCTAATAAAATAAATTAGATTATTTGGGGAATCTATCTTTCTTGGAACCACATGTACATGCACTGTACTAACCAGATTACTAAAAATCAAGAGTATACACGCAACAAATCCGTTACCAGATTTCCAGATTGGCTTATCCATTCTAGCTTTACAATGATGAATGATGCTTTTTCTTGTCTTTTTTTGGCAGAGACACCAAGGTCCTCCTAGTGGCACTGTCCAGCCTTACTGCTTTTTTGTGTGCCTGTGTTTGAGCAAAATGACAGCACAAAAAGACTAAAGCCAGTGTTACACTTTTAATGCAACTCAGCAAGTGTGCGAGGGTCCACATGATATAAATTTTGTCCATGGGAGCCCTCACAGGCCCCTCAGCACACATCCACATGCAGCCCAAAAGTATGTGTCCCACACAGCAGCGATGCTACCAGAGCAACACTGTGCATGCTGGAGAGTAGTGCATATGTGCAGAATACGTAAATAGGACCTACTGCTCATGTATGCAGCAGTCTTCAAAATGGACTCCTGCAACTGAAAAACTAGCATAATAAGTATAATAACAGCTACATGTCCATGGATGTACACATCCACATCAGCCTTAGAGTATAATCAGAGTTCCTCTGAAAAACATAAAGTGTCTGAATCTTGGCAGCTTGTTCCTCACTTGTGGTGATCAGGGGAAGATGGTCCACCTGCAGGCCTGAAGGTCGCTGACCTCTGATGACCTAAAACTATAATGAGAAAGAAACCGTTGCCTCTGCCAGTAAATCCCTGGACATGGTGCACTTCTGGGAACTTATTAAAGATCCATTTGTTAAAATGTACAATGAGTGTTTGAGTAATATAATAATATTCCAGGAAGCTGATTTGTTTTACTCATTTCAAAACCTGTTCTCATCCTTATTTTATTTAATTGCTTTTCTGAGCTTCTCTCCCTTATTATGTCAAGGAAGAGAAGTAAAATGAAATGTCTGGTAGTCATTTATCTGGTCTTCTGGTGCCTTTGTTTTCAGATGGATCCACCTCCTCAGTCAACCTATAAACCCCCGCTAATGGTACCACAGGAGGCCATTGGAACAGGTGCAAACAAGTTTGTTTACTATGTGTGCAACGAGCCTGGTCTTCCCTGGGTAAAGCTTCCTTCAGTTAGTCCAGCACAGATCACCGTTGCTCGGCAGATCCGTAAATTCTTCACTGGTAGGCTAGACACTCCAGTTGTAAGCTACCCGCCTTTCCCTGGGAATGAAGCCAACTATTTGAGAGCACAGATCGCTCGGATCTCTGCCGGCACACAGGTAAGCCCTCTGGGTTTCTATCAGGCTCGGGAGGAAGAAGGTGATGAGGAAGATGAGGCACCTCAGGACAGCTACGAAGTGAATCCTGACTTTGAGGGCATTCCTGTCACTGAAATGGCTGAGTCCTTGTCTTTTTGGGTGCATCATGTTCAACACATTCTGCAGCAGGTACAAGTCTGATCAGAGCAGGTACATGGACATTTTGTTGGCTTCTGTACGTATATGTGTGTAGTAAATGTGGGAAAATGAACTTCAGGGCCGCTGTACTTGGGTGAACCTGGCTGTGAAACCTGAGGAGGAATCCTATGAGGAAGGAGAGGCTGATGAGAAAGAAGAGGAGCCTGATGAGCCTGAGCCAGAAGTTGGACCCCCACTGCTCACCCCCCTCTCCGAAGATGCAGGTCAGTCTCTGACTTTGTATATTTTCCAGCCAAACCAGTAGGACGCTTAAAGCATAACCGAGAATGTAATTTTCCCTGGGGATAGAGAGACTAGTGTTTGCACCTTTTAACCTTAAACATTTCAAATCTGAAATCCCCCTCAGTCTGATTTACACAATAAAATCTCTGTGCCCTCTGACTGTCCAGTGCTGATACTGTCATTAAGATTTTAGAATTAAACAGCAGTCAAAGGTAAAGCAGTTAAGGTATTTTCAGGGGGTTTGCAATTAACACTGTGTCTTCTGCACATGTACATCAATATAACAGGGAACTCAGATACTAGTGAAATCAGCTGCTTTGGGTTTCCCCCCCCATGTTGTTTCTGAGGTTACAATGGTTTTATAGCAAGGAAGTTTATCAAAGACCAACCGTCATGAATTCAGACAGCATAGTGACAGTAATAGAACAATTTACATGCAACACTATCACCAAAACTCCAAATGTAGAAACTTTGTAAAAGCAAATTTTGTGGCAGAGCTGGTTCACTAATTTCCACTGGATTTCCCTGTTGGTTTTTAATGCTGTGCTACTGTATTGATGGTCTGTATCTCTTCAATAAATATGAACACTTTCCAGTGTAAGGCTCACAGGCCTCACATGGACTCATTTTCCTACAATCCTCCATTTTTCACAGCTCTACCTAAACTCCACCCATGGACACAACAGCTCTGCCATAAGTTCAGCTCTTACACGATTTCTACATTTTCATGTCTTGTTGACTTTGTTCAAAAGGTGATGATTGTACCTAACACTTCCTGTGAAAGTCATAGTGGTGATATTTGAAAGTGTTCCTAATAGTTTGTCCAACCCATCATCACACGTGCGTATGTTAAGGAGTATATGTGTGCTATAACCATACCTACGTCCTTGAATGAATTTTGATATCTGTGTCTCTCAGAAATGTTCGGCACCCCTCCCTGGAGCTCTAGGCTGTCCTCTACTCTCACCCCACAGCATGCAGTGGCTGTGTTGCGCTCAAACCTCTGGCCAGGGGCATTTGCATATGCTTGTGGAAAGTAAGTGAAACAATCAGAGCAGGCTGACTGCTTAGTTTGACTTCTCACGGAATCCTGCTGTGCATTTCACAAACAACCACATGCTGTCTCCTAATTCAGGAAGTTTGAAAACATATATGTTGGATGGGGTATGAAGTATGCAGGAGAAGGGTACAGCCCACCTGTACCCCCACTACCACAGAAAGAATATCTCAGCGGAGCAAACGTCACAGAGACCCTGGACCCATCGCTGGAGGAGGAGCAGGTGCTGCAAGAAGCTTTAGAGGAGCAGCAAGCTGCCCAGGAGGAGATGGAGGAGACAGAGGACGAGGAGGAGGAAGATGATGACTGAGAAAGCAGTTAGATAATTTACATTTAAATTTAAATAGTATTTATTTGTAAGTCTGTGGCCAAATAAACCGGTTTACTCAGCAACATGGCTTGATGCTATAACTCAGGAAAATACTATTCATTATTGGAAAAGGGCAGAATTCTGGCAATGGGGTCTGCCGGAATATGCACCCCCCTCTATTTCTGACCCCAGAGGACTTAAAGCCACCAGATTCACAACATTTATTGATGATCATGGTCTGAGCATAATCTGAAAAGTTAGAAATGCTGGGACCAACAGAGACAGATTTACTGGGGGGGTGCATATTCCGGCAGACCGCATTGCATGCATCTTTTTTTCATTTTCATCTACAGGTGAAATAAATAATAAAATACACAATTTAAGATGTACATAATGGGATGAATTTTCTCCGTGTGTTGTTCTGAGACAACTGAGCAAATTCAATATTCCGATGGGGACTTGAAATGTGGATTTCATTTAGAGTGAATATTTTCTTCCACGTTATCAGAAGGATCTAGAATGTCACCCTCAAACATTCAGTTATACTGTAAGTTTTACAGACGGTGAGTTTTGCAGACTGTGGGTTCAACAGTTACGCAACATAGACGAGGACGACACCAGAGAGATGATGTTAATGTGATGGCGATGGAGTGAAACAGATAAAGGAGACAGAGACATGCTGCTTGTTGGCTTACAGACTACAACATTATAAAATAAAGAATACAATTACCTACAAGAGTAACTTTAAATACAAAGAGAACACTGTGACTGGATAGAAAGGATTTTGCAGGTAAGTTGAAGTTTCCAGAAAGTCCCAAATTTACTGCAATTTGTTGTATTGAGACATTTTGGCTGGCATTTTGAACTCCGAAAAAAACAGCATTGGGTTCAAGGTTGCTTTCAAATAAAATACTCAATGTCTATCACGTGGCAGCACACAGCACGCTAGTGGAGCTGCTACTTTTTGTTGGTGAACTTGGTAAATGCGCTTGTACATCCATCCATTATCTATGCGCCACTTAATTCTCACTAGGGTCCCAGGGGGCCTGGAGTCTATCCCAGCTAACTCAGGGTGAAGGCAGGGGACACCTTGGACAGGTCACCAGTCTATCACAGGGCTACACTTAGAGACAGACAACCAAGCACACTCACATTCACACCTACGAACAATTTAGAATCACCAATTAACCTCAACATGTTTTTGGACCGGACCTGTCCTGTAGTTTGATTCACAAGAACTGAATTAGAATTTGGAAAAAGGATCTAAAACTGAATTCAATTTCAAATTGTGGAATAAAAATATTTATTTACAATTATCCAAGCAGAGCAGTTTAAAGTTAGTTACAAATATTCAGCCCATAGCTAAATCAAGTAGTCACACATGCACCTAATCTCCCCCCAAACCAACTGTGAACATTAAAGCTGTACACAACTGGTGTACTAGTGACAAAAAACATTCACAGACCTTTACAATCCGAGTGTATCAGTATTTTTTGTTCAAATCGTGAACCCTATTCAATATCCTAACAAATGACGTGCGTTTTCACCTCATGTGTCACTGGTTTACAACCTAAGGGCTTTTATATAGGGCTTAGCTGTATCACTTTTTGGGGCAGATGTGTTCTCCATCCAACTTGTACCTGAAATTTTACCCCCCATGATCAAATGTTTCAGTTAAATGAATCGTTTGTCTGCATTACAGATGGAAGTCTTCCTACCTCCATCTGTTGTGCAGGCAAGAGATTATCTTGCATTCTCAGTCGTGACGTCAAGTCAGATCCATAAAGTGCTTACTCAGTTTTAATGTCACACAAGACTGATGACATTTCTTAGTGTTAAAATACATTTATTTAATACAGAAAGGTCAAAACAATAAAACAGACAAGACTTTCATTAAAACAGTTTGCTCTTCTGGGTGGGTTTTTGGGCTCGTTTCAGTGGTTCAGTCTCGCCATTCGCTCCTGATCCACAGCAGACTGCAAAGCCAGAACTGTGTCTGTGGATGGCAAATCAGTGCATGTAAAGTACACTCACAGAATTTGGTTCTTCAGGACTAGTTGAGCACAAATTTAAAATTGACAGAACAACAATGTGTCTGGATGCAATTATATGTTTGGATAACAATCAGGTTTTCCCACAAATGCAAAAGCTACCATTATCTAGCGTGGATGGCTTTAAACAGAAGCTGTGTAATGCTCAACAACACAATCGAAAAAGGCTAAATTAAATTAAGCATACCACTTAACATTTAATTAAAGTAGTAGTTTGTACAAACCCAGTAACTTCCGGGAATGATCCATCAGGTCGGGAAGCCCTGCCTCGATGTTGTACGAGATTTGGTCCATTCCATTTACAAGTTCACCTGCCCTCTTCGGAACAACAGATAAAAAAATAAAATGTGTGAGAATACACAAAACCACTTAGAAATGGCATCATGACTTGTATGTAGAAAAAGCTCTACCTTCAGCTCAGCATAAACTTTCTCCTCCAGCTCTGCCACCTGAGATATGGCGTCATACACACTGGTATCCACAACAGATTCCTGCACCACAAAGAAGTGATGCACACAATTTTAACAGTTATACATGGGATATAATGTTCAGTAATTGCAATTTTGGACAGATGCTGTGCAAGCTTACCTCTTCTGAGGAGCTGTTTACAGGCTCTTGTGCCTTTGCGGCCCTGCTGGCTTTGGAATTGCCCTTCAGTTCCTTCACTCTGCCAAAGAGTAGAAAACATTCTACGTTTTATTGTCACAGACATCATAGTCATTTCACAAATCAACATTTTCCAAAAAGAAATCAAAACATTTGCCATCAAGTTAAAGCTTAATGTGTACCTGTCAGCGTAACGTAGTGTGTTCATTGTATATTCACATGAAGTCATGCCTGGAGACACCATAGCAATCTATGCAGGAAGATTAAAAAAACAAAAACGGCACTCATTCTGTATTCAGCTACATGTACATACATCTGGGTTTGCATTTGCCTGGTGGTGGTCATCAGCATCATCCGCAATGATGTAATCAGACCACAACACACCATATGCCGGACAGAGTAGCCACATTTGGTGGTTTAACATACCATGCAGGTCCTGGACTTCTCTCCAATGAAGGAATCCCTGAGGACTTTGGTCAAAGTGCTCATCCGGAAAGGAATGTGATCACTGTTCATTCCCAGTGACCGAATACACTCCTGCAGGACAAAAGAGTGGACACACAGGTGTGTTAAGTGTCATTTAAAAATCCTCAGGGCTTAAAGCAAACATGTTTCGCGCACAGTCTAATTCCTGATTTTTCTGGGTTTCTAAATCATAATCGTAGGCTGCGAGGCCAGACGGATAAAGATAAAGGCTGAGGCACGTATCGCGACCCATTGTAGAGAGACGAGGACACCAAATCGAATCGTTTCTAAATGTGAATTCTCATCTAAAATAAAAATGCATCACAAATTCACTGTTTCAGGTGGAAAACACGGTTTGATAATTGCATCCAAGTCCAACTTCCAAGATATCCAATCTTATCTTTCAAACTTTTCATTCCTTCATTGGAATCTAAACAGTGTGAGCCACATAACAGGTCTTTCCTGCTGTCAAAGGGTTTCCAAGTTAGTGCAAAAGACCACGACAAAGATATGAAAACAAAACAAAAGGTCTTTTCATTGCAGTGATTTTTTTCAAAACAACCGTATGCATTATTGAGCTGACACTTGTAAGCAAAAGTTTGTTTTTTCAATAAAAACACGTCGACCTGTAATTATTATTAATATTAGTATTTCTGAACCTGAAATGGCCTCGGAGCAGACTTCTGGCACAGTGTCAGAGAACTTTGAATCATTCAATCCCTAAAGATGCTGCACATGGATACTCAATATTTGGATAGTATTAGGAACATCGAAAGAGATAAAGTTAAGCAATTTGAACATTATTTTTTAAAGATTCCATTGAAAGAGCCACAACTCCTTTATCTGCACACTAGCTTAGGTGCAAGAGAGAAAATGAACTATTGGCATCTTTGCAGCCGCTGCTGTTATCCATCAATTGTCAGCATGCCTCCACATCAGCCGTAGTCTACCTTGAGAGCCAGGAGGCTACGGTTGATCTCGGCGGTCTCAACCAAAGTGCTGCGGTCATTGCTGCTGACATCTGTGCCGCGCTCATTGCCAGCCAAATCGACCAATGAAAATTTGCCATACAGCGTGCTAGCGCGGTCGCTGCGCCGCAGCACAATCTGGAGGATTGCATGAGAGCGAGAGGAGTTGGCATTGGCCGAGGTCTGGCCTGATGTCCTGCAGAGACAGTAAAAAAACAAAAAATAAGTATCAGAAATAGAAAAAAAGAAAAAAACTATTATCCGATTCATAAAAGCTCTCGTTCATGGCATGTCGTTTTAACTGCTAACAGTTAAAACATGAATACTGTTTTGTTGAACAAGAAACACTTGAAATGCTTCACTAAAACCAAGAAGTATTTTACGATTTTAGTTTTGGGTTGCTTTGTTAAAATAACTCATGATTACATTAGTGTTCTTTCAGTCAGCACATTGTTCAGACAGAGCAAATAAACTCAAAGAGGCATGAACAATGAGATTTCAGGTCCTAAGTACCTGCATGCGCTGCCCATCTCTATCATCTTGATGACCTCTTCTGCTGTAGACACATAGACCTCCTCCAGGCCAACCACCTGAACCTGCTGCCGGTCATCCTCCAAAACACGGAGCTTGGCCTTCTTATTCAGCAGGTCATAAACCTAAATAATTAAAGTATATTATTAAGATACCCTGAGCAATCAGATTTTTCAGTCGAGTGTTTCTAAATGTATTCACAGAGAAGACTTCTTTGTTACCTTGCCATTGTAAATCTCAAAGAAGCTGACGTATGCAGACAGGTCCAGATGAGCATATCTCCTGTGGTTGAGGAAGGTGAAAACATCTTGGGCTAGAAAGGGAAAGAATCGGAAATAAATCCAGACGTAGTCGTCATTTAAAAGGCCAGTTTAATAAATCCCAAATGTTCTGTGGTTTCACAATTCTGTTTGAACGAGCATAAATCGGGCAGATAAAAACAGAGTGAAAAATTGCTTTTGA